GATGAGGTTCACAGACCATGTCAGTGGATGAGGTTCACAGACCATGTCAGTTGATGAGGTTCACAGACCATGTCAGTTGACTAGTCTGGAGGTTAGTCCGTTTAAAACTGAATCGTATCGTACACACCAGGTATATATAACAGCCATATTTAACAACTTAGCGACACACCTAACATTAATCGTGAAAAAACAGAGACAATGTACCACTTGTGGTCCACATACCACAGTTTGAGGACCACCAGTCTATGTATTTGGTACTTACTTGCCACTCCTTGCAGTCATCACGTCCCGCCAGGCGAAACAGCGACACCGAGTTGTACAACTGCCAAAACTGCAAAAGAAAAAGAATGTGTTTGGCGCCACCTACTGGTCTGAAGTAGTTTCTTCAATGTTTGATTTTTATGGGAGAAAACTCTAGGAGGTTTCTGTTAGTGTTAATAAACACAGGGCAGACAATAATGATGATGAAACCCTAACTGTGTGCCCCTAGTGGCCAATAATAAAAGTTAACAGACAAACACTACGGTGTTTTCTTTACTTACGTGGCCGAAAAACAGGAATGGCAGTAGAAAAGTGAGGCCTCTCCACATCCAGGACTGAAACCCCTCTGCACACACACACACACACACACACTGTTACTTAATATACAACACACACACACACGATGTCTCTGTCCTCAGGACAACAGAAGTATCAAAGTGTCCTCCTTGTCCCGCACAGTAACGTCCGTCTCCGTCCCTGACCTTTACTCCAACCCCCCCCTCCACCCGTTGTTCCAGATGGTTCCACAGTTCAAATGATTTGAATGTTTCCCACCGTAAATAGAACTCTGAACTCACCCACGGTGAGGTCCAGCTGGCTTCTCTCCCCCAGAGCTCGGAGACGGTACAAGCAGCCGCTCTGGTAGTAATACTGGAGGAACTGAAGAAAACCTGGAGGAACCAGACGAGATCATGGGAAAAAAAAAAAGCACATTTAATAATAACAGAATATGTATTTGTATGTATTTGATATAATTTGACAAATTAAAAAACATGAAATATGAAAGGTCAACCAAAAATATTAGCTAGCTCTTAAGCTAACATTAAGTATTTTAAATTATATATACAGTTTTTCTTATAATATTATTATAATCAATTAATAATATATTATAATATAATAGATTATAAAATATAATTTTATAACCTATTATAAAATATAAAATAAATAATTTCTGTCATTTTATTTTATGTTTTGAGCCTTTAAAAAAATAAACATCTACATGTGTTTAAACCAACCAGTGACTGCAACCACCAGGAAAATATTTCAATTTTTTTTCCAAATTAAAAATATTTGTAATAATCCATGTTTGTCATTGACAGTTAGAACCAGATCTAGATTTGGTTCAACATCCTGTGAACCACGTTCTTACTCTGATAGATGGAGAAGGCAAGAAACTGGCTCCTGAACCTCTGGTACATCGGACCCTCCGGCCTGAAACAACACTTCAAGTTTCAGCCAATACTCCTGTGTTCATGTACATCAACAAAATATGTTGCTGTGGATTTAAAAAATAAATAAATAAATAAAACTCACCAGGTCAGCATGACACCTGACAGAAAGGTCGACACGTAATGATGTGACACCCACCAGCCTTTGATTCTGGAGAGCAGCAGCAGTTGAGGAGAGGAGGGAGAAGAAGACAACGTTCTTATATCCGAGATGTCCGATATTAACTTTTGATATACGATATTGTCCAAACACTTAATATCCGATATCAACCGATACCGATATAGCAGGGCAGTGTTGGCCTGGTGGTTAAGGACGGTAAGTGCCGCCTGCTCACTAAGGTGACAGGTGTTTCTTAATTGTTTTCTACCATGCCCCCCCCTAGGGGACAGAAGTTTTTTTTTGCCTTCGAATTTAAATACTATTGACCGTTTGGTAATATTTATCTGTACAAACCACTGTTTGAGTTGCTGGCACCAGTATTCTGCATACAATTAAAATAGATTAAAAAAAATGAGCTGCAATGCTGCCATCTAGTGGCTTTTATTTTCATATACAGCTGTTTTTCCCCTTAAACATAATTTAATGAAACCTACACAGTGCGTTATTGGGCTTTCAATAGAGAAAAAAGAGAGAAGAAAAAAAACAATGATGATTCTTACAGATATAAATAATTACGCTAATATCGTTTGGCCGATAAATAATAATAATAACAGATGGTAACAAACCTGGAGCCGTTGCTCATCAGTATACTTTCCCTAATGGTCAGTGTGCAGTAATACCACACCAGCAGAAAGTTGAAGATTTCGTCCGTGACTCTGAACAAAACAGTAAGAAAAACAAACAAACAAACAAACAAACAGTCATTCAGTTTTTATTTAAACAAACACCACGATGCTCTGGAGGTAAAACTTCGTCGTCTCTCATACCGATAGTTGAGGAAGAAGAGGCAGGTGATGGCTCCAAACATCAGGATTATCGTCATGTAAAGTTTGAACTTCTCATACTCGTCTTTGTAGGCAAATCTGTGGAGATGAACCAGTGAAAAAAAATCTACTTCAGTTTTACTGATTTACTTCATTCCAAAAGAATCCCGTCATGTCCCTTTACTGTTTTCATTCAAAGATAATCTGTCAATATTTCAAAACAACAAGGTCAAAGGTCACTCGGACTCTGATACTGACAGAAGAAAATCTGAAAGATGTTTGTTTTGTAAAGGTTAATTCCACAGTAACGTGCTGATACCGGCCGACCGGTCCTTTGGTACAAAAAAAAGGTCGGGGACCGCAGCTTTAACACACACTAGTCAGAGTCAAAGCAGAGCGCTCCACCTACTTTGCTTGGTTGCTGAGAAGCGTTACGTTCACGTTACCCAGGACCAAATTAAGGTAGAGTCTGGAACCAAAAAAAAAAAAAGAGCAGCGTCAGTAACTACAGACGGTCAGAGCTACAGACACAGAGGTGAAGTACTGACCCGTTCCTCTTTGGTAAATACGCCTCCATGTCAAAGAAGACATTTTCCTTCTCTTTAATTTGAGACCTGATGTCGGTGATTAGTTTAAGATCATTCTCGTCGCACGTTTTTCCAGATCTGTAGAGAAAAAGACAGAATTATGATAATAATAATTAAACAAAATTAATTATAATAATAATAAATATCAAACAGGCCTGAAGGGCTTCAAAATTTAATATTATAAACACTTCATCTAAGGGCCACTCGTGGGTGGGTTCCTGGGCCACTTCTGGCCCATGGGCCGGGAGTTTGTAACACCTGATCTAATGGTTACAGAATTCATATTTTATATTATTTATATTAATATTATCTTAGTGATACTAAGTATTATTATTCACTTGTTTTAGTGGGGTTTTTTTTTGCATTCGTAAACACTTCCTGGGGAAAATGTCAAATGTGTATAATTCTAGGGCAGTTTTTTTTTTTTGACTTTTTCATATTGAGATGAATAAATATTCAAATACACACGTTGTTGTAGAGGTGGAAACACTCACCTGGACAAGCTGTGCCTCAGGTCTTTCAGGCTCTTCCTCTGTTTGTTGATGACACTGCTGCAGGTCGTCTGCAGACTGGTGAGCTCTTCTAGTTTTTGTCTGTATAATTTGTGAGTTTCCTGGATCAAAACAGAAGGAAAAAAAAAATCTGATGAATGCCACGGAGATGACGCATTATAATGTCAAATGAACAAAAGTCTGGTTCAACGACGAGAGGCGTCGATGGTGATAATCACAGCACAGTTTTTACAGCCCATCATCACAGCAGTGGGGGCTTCAAACCAGCAACCTGTTGGCGTTGACGTTATTATGAAAACGCAGTTTCTTTCCGTTCTTTTTCTCCAGTCACGTTGCCGCAGCAGCTGCTGGACGTCTGTCTGTGTCTCGGCAGAGTAAAGCCAACGATGCCTTCATGGTACTGGGAAAAAGTTACAGCAGTGCTTCTGGAGTATTTTCTGTCATGCCCCCCCTTGGGGACAGAAAAGTTTTCACGCCCCTCCCACCCGTCCGCCCCCCCCAAATTGAAATACTATTGAGAAACTGATAACGTGTATATTTTTAACTGTACAAACCACTGTATGAGTTGCTGCCACCTAGTGTCTGGAGGCTTCATTCAAGCATTACAGCAGTGGTACACTGATGTCCAGCGTGCTATAGTCCATTGGCGCCCCCTGGCCCCGCCCCACTACTTCAGGAGCACTAAATTACAGCATCCTACTAAAAATATTTGACCTTCTGAGTGTGCAATTCACGACCTTGACCACATGGATGCAGTATTTGTGTATTTGAAATACAACTGTCTTATGTTGTTTGGCCTGATGACAGATGTACAATAAAGTAACAAGTTAACACAATCAGGATGTGATGTCACATGTCTGGTAGCAAAAAAATAAAAATAAAAAAAAATAAACAGTTTTATATTAAGGATTTTGACTGCTGTAGTTGTGTAGCCACTCCCCTTCCAAACTGACCAATCATTGGTCCCCTGTGCGAGGCAAGTCTGTCAACTCTGGTCTAATACAATTGGATGTGATCAGAGAGTGGGGGAGGAGCCTGACCTTTGATAAAGACAAGTTCAAACACACAAAAAAGTCAACACTGGGGGAAAAGTCTGACAAACACGATCACGCGTGTCAAACCCAGCCCTACCCTCGAGAAACCTGTGGGTTCAAAAGCAGAAACAGATCCTCCTGACTTGACACATGAAGATCAAACTGACCGCTGAACACACGGGTCATTGTGTTAACGATGTAGGTGAATCACATGACAGGTGACGTCACCACGCACCACAAAGAAATGACAAAAAAGCTAAATACGTAAAAAAAACTTTTTAGCATCTTTGAAAATAATCTCCATTAAGTTGAACCATCTCTTTCTTGCTTCCCCATGAAGGACACTTTGATACGTTTCATCGATCACTAATCTATATCTCAGTTACTGATGACAGGATCCAGACCAGAGCTAACGATTTAGCTACACCTCAAAACAGTCCGGTGAAATAACTGTTTGTTTGTTTTTTTTTTTACAGGCAGCAGACAGAAATAAATAAGACTGTATAAAACTCTAATTTCAGTTTTTAAATCTCTCAGATGAAGAACAATACTTATATAACGGTATCTCAGTTAATAACTGACACTGGCCTGTGATTTTTTTACAGTTTTTACAGGACTTATCTCATAAAAAAAACGGTATCTCAGTTAATAACTGACACTGGGCCAGTGATTTTTTACAGTTTTTACAAGACTTCTGATCTCATAAAAAAAACCCCACAGTTTTCCATCATTATCGATGCAGATGTCCAGAGGAGACAGAAGTAATATTTATATTATATTTATATATTAATCATTTCTAAAGATTGAGCCTCATTATATCATATGGATTTCCACAGAGGTTGGCCACGTTCGGCGGCAAAATGTGGCGTAAAACATGTGTAGACATCGATATCAGATACAGTTTTTGTTATTTTTTTTTAGCTGAATTTAGCATCGATGTTGAAAAGGCAGTGAAAGATTCAGCTCATTAGCTGTAAGATCTTACTAAAGTGAGGTCTATAGTTTTATAGTTGCTACTTTTATGATGCTAATGTTGTACGTGATTATGCTTAGCCGTTTGTCAGCACAATTTATTGACATTTTCCAAAAACATACTGTGAAATACTCGTCTTACAGAACACTAACTGTAGCTCTGTCATTATTATTATTGTTATATAAAATATATGGTACCTTTTTTATTAGTACGCCTGCTAGCTGAGATAAGCTGTGGTCATAATACGATGACAACCAAAATTCTCGGACAACAAAAGCAACACCAGCTAACAAAAAAATACTTTTATGATCAAAAATGCAACTTTTTCCCACCCCTCAAACACCAACTGTGTGAACCTGCTCTGTGCTGTCAGCAGTGCCTGTGCTGAGCTAACAGTTAGCACCTGCTAGTTAGCGTCATAAACATAAACTGAGAACCTGCAGCTAAACTAGACGCTAAAACCTGACGATGTTGTCACGAAGGACGGGACACGTCACGGCCACTGAGGCACATCTGCCGCGAACAGATGTTTATATAACAGCGCTGGGTTTGAAGTGAGTCTAGAATGAATGGCTAGCAGCGCAGCGCTACCACCACGGACTCTGTTGTCATTGTCAGCCACGACACGAACCAGCGCCAACAAACCAGCCACGGATCTCGACTCTAAGTCACACTCGTTTGTTATCGACAGTGTGTTTAAATCACCTGCAGTTGCTGATATTCCTCCTCCATTTCCTGCCACTCCGCCTGGAACTTGGACATGGTGCTGCAGTGGTGGACGCGCAGATGAACGGCCGCCGGTTCTTCTGCTTCTCCTCCTTCTTCTCGAAGTGTGACCGAGTGAATCCAGACTGTCTTTAAACTGGACGGCGTGTATGAATGCGCATGCGCGCACACACTATTTCACGGTTGTTTGACCTACGTTATTGAAACGTTCAAATATTTTTAAAATGAAGGAAAATTTATAATAATCATATAATAATAGTATTAGTTTATTTTTTGGGTGTTTTTCACTTTTTTAAATTTTGTTTTGTTTTCATTTCTTTTTCGGTAACTGTTGCACTTGTCTGCTGTAATTTGAAGAAATAAATAGGTATACACACAATAGAAATTACTATTTATTTTTAATTATTTAGCGCAATATATATTAGAGAAAATGCCACTAGTATCGTTTAGAACACTAACACATTGATTTTATTTTTTTAATTATTTTTTAATATTAATATTGATTCACATTATTATGTGAAATACATGTTATTTATATATAAATGACAACAATGAAAATTAAATTGTATTTAACATACGCTCTAAACTTTACGTCGATGCCTATGACAACGTCACACGTAATGGTGAGAATTTACAGAAGCCAAATAAAAAATATATTTCGGATTTATGTCATTTGTTTCCTGGTATATTGAAAATAAATGTATGTATTTCCGGATGTTTTGTTTTTCTAAAGTTCATTTGTCTAAACGTGTAAACTTCTGGTCGACTGCGCCAACTAGAGTTGGTTTCCAGGAAACCAGAGACGCACAGCTCAGGTTTACAGCCGCAGTCAACGCTGCTGTTCGCGAGCCTGGCTTCAGTTTACAGCCGCAGTCAACGCTGCTGTTAGCTTCATTTAAACCTTTTTTTAAACACGTTTGTTAATCATTTCATTTCTACATATCGCGAAAGTTTCAGTTTGTGAAGGGTGAGTTTTTCTTAAAAGTTTTTCTGAAAGTTTTATTTATATTTATTGTTGTGGTTTAAAGGTTAAATGTTGAGAAGCTTTAGCATCTAATAAAAAAAACCCAAATTAATACTTTAATATATATATTTTAATTTTCATATGTTTTAAGTTAGATTTAGTAGTAGTGTAGTATAACCATTGTATTCTTATTTGTTTTGAGCTTTTCTAATATAACTAATAATTCTTTTTAAATTAAAGTTAAAGTATTTGTGATTGTATAAATATATATGTGTCTTTCCTTGTTTTTAAACTGTAGGATTCTCATTATGCCTTATATTAAAACAAGTCCGAAAAAACTGCCTTTGACCAAACAGTTGGACTTGAAGGCGCAGAAATGCGGCCTCCGTCACACGGTGTTTGCTCCAAACGGCGATCAGTACACAGGAGAGTGGCTGGACGACAGGAAGCACGGTGAGACGCCCGGCCGAGGCCAACCTTCACTGTGGCCTCGTTTCTTTTTATCAGACAGATGAATTACATTCACCGTTCATTCCTGAAGGAAAAGGAACTCAACTGTGGAAGAAGTCCGGAGCCGCGTACAGAGGAGAATGGAAATGTGGCCAATGTGACGGGTACGGTACCTTCAGCGTGTTAGTACCTGGAACCAACAAGTACGACAGGAAGTACTGCGGAAGATGGAAGAATGGGAAGAAGCACGTAAGTCAGTGTGCCGTCGGTGGGTCACATGACAGAGGCGGTGTAATGACACGGTGACATGGCGTCCATCACTTCCTGTCCCCAGGGTTATGGGACGTTTTTCTACAGGAACGCAGCGATCTACGAAGGAGACTGGAGTGAGGACCAGAGGAGCGGCTGGGGCAGAATGTACCAGGAAACGGGGGACATTTATGAGGGAGAGTGGCTGAGGGACAAACGCCACGGGCAAGGCATTATTCAGTTTGGTAATGAAACGTCAATAATCGTAAAAAAAAACAGTAGCAAAAAGAGAGATTCGATTACATTTTATTTTAACTTTGTGTTCCAGCAAATGGAAACTGGTATGAAGGAACCTGGAAAGACGGCAAGAAGAACGGTGAAGGGAAGTTCTACTACTGCGACAAAGGTCAACTGTACCAGGGCTTTTGGGTCGATGGAGTCGCAAAATGTGGCACCCTGACCGACTGTGAGCGAGACAAGGCACCGACGCCAACAAAATATCCAATACCAAAGGTAAATAATTACATTATTATTATTATTATTAGAACCTTAATATAAACCGTTGGTCACTGCTGAAATGACACAATGAAATTATTTTAATGTAAAAAAAAAACTGTGTTATGTTTTTCAAGCTCCACCTGGTGGACGCAGAGCTGGTCTTGAAGGAAGCCCAGTCACTGCATCATGATCAACGAGACCGAGAGGAAGGAGAAGATTCTGACTGACAAAACCTGGGTTCAGTTCCCAGAGGAACCACACGCTTGACTGTTAATCCTCCTCTTCTGAGTCGCTTCGGATAAACGCGTCTGCTAAATGCATAAAGATTTAATAACGAGAGCACCAGGCTAGTTCAACCAACCACGTTAGCCGAGGTCTTTACAGGATAAAGCCCAGGGAAGGCTACGTAACTTTGTCATGATGACTGTCACAGAAATGACTGATTAAAGTCAAGGCGTCCGTGGACAACAGAAACATCCATCCATTCATCATCTACTAATTCAATCAGCACAGTAACAGTGCTACCAGGTGACCCCGGGGCATCACGTTGGCGACCCCTGGCTAAGAGCCTCAGGTAGATCCAAACGACTGTTCTCATTCATGGCCAGTTTAGAGTATCTGATTGATCTGATCTCAAACCCTGACACTCACACACAGGGTCAACATGTAAACTCTAAAACAAAGATGGCCGATCGAACCAGCTCCAATTTGTTTTTCCAATTTAAGAAGCGTTGATTTCGATGTGTTACAGGTGTTTATTTTGTCACTGACACGTCAGAAAATATAGTGAGACAATATTCAAGTTTTGGCAGTTGTTGAGTACGGCAAGTACACATGTACATGTACAAGTACATGTACATGTACACGGTGGACGTGGGTTAAAGTACAACAAAGTGATACTGACAGTTTCTATTATTAAATAAGTGCAGCAGGCAAGAGACAGCGGTCGTTGTTATTGTTCGGACGTTTCTTTAACAACACGAGTTCAGTCGTTGTTATTGTTCGGACGTTTCTTTACGAGTTCAATCAGGCAACGGCTACGTTTTAAGACGTCGTCCAAGTTCGAGACACGAACATGTGTCAGGGTTCACACTTTGATCAAGCGCGTCTTTTAAAATACTATTTTTCTTTTCTTTTTTTAAAAATCAAACACAAATAAGTGAGAAATACAACTTCTTTCATTGTTTAAAAAAACAAACTAAAACAAACTAAAAGCCAGGAGTGTCGCTTCGGACATCCAGAATATTCCATCAGTCAAGTTCCTGCTACTGGTTCCTAATTCCTCGTGCGTGTCTACGGGAAATGTGAGCTGGGAGACTGCAGGATGGAAGACTCCCCTCGGTTGTCCAACTCGTTCTGGAGGCGGGTGAGGTTGGAGAGCTCCTCCAGCTCCTGGAACTGCCTGTCCGTCTTGTGGCTGACCAGGGAGCGGTAGAAGTGCACGGCGAAAACTATGAAGACCAGACCGAAGGGGACCATAATGGAGGTGGAGGTGATGGCGGCGGCCACGCCGGAGGACACCGTGTTGTTGCTGGACTTGTTGGGCTTGATGGGCAGAAACTTGACCCAGCAGAGGAGGACCACTTCAGCCAGGAACAGCAGAGTGCCGATGACTGTAGAAAAGGCCCAGGCCAACTCGATGTGTCTGTGCATCCTCTCGTGCGGCGACTCCTTCACCGAGTTCAGGTTGTGGACGTTGCTGACGGCCTCGATGTTGGGCAGGATGCAGGTGCTGACCATGAGGGCGAACAGGTGAACGGCCACCAGGACGGTGGTGCACGCGCTGAAGGCGATGAGGAGAGCGGGAGGATACGGATAGCTGTTGTCCAGCTGCACTTCCACCATCGCCACCTGAGGGTGAGAGGAGGAAACACAACTTCACTTTTATTCACCATTTACTAAAGTAAAAAAAAGAGCAAATATCCTACAAAAATCCTACCACATGAATTGGTGCTTGTTTTGAAACTAAAGCAAAACTTTTCTTTGTCAAATGATATTTTTTGACAAAGTAAAAACCTTGAGTCTGAGGTCACGCTGCTGAACTTATTCCTTTTACAGACACTTCAACTTTTGACATGTTTAGGAACAGCGTGTGACAGATGGACTCCGCTCCTATTGGACAATCCAGCTGTCACTTACACGTCATGTCCAATCGTAGTCACACTTTCATAAGGTCGAATATGTCCAACTTTTATATTGTGTTTCTAATGATTTCGGTGTCGTACCGTCACCTGTATCGTGGGTTTGTAAAACTAGCATCAGGACAACTCGGGTTTTTACATCAAACCACAACAGAGAAACCGATTATTATTGTGTTTAACCCTTAAAGGTGAAGGATATGAAACCACAGAAGGTAACTTTATCTCTAGATGGCGCTAAATCTTACACAATGCATCTTTAAATAACTGGAAGAATGACTTTTATAGTTTAACCACTTAGTTTGTAAAGTACGACGGATGTTTACGGTAACGATTGAATACATTCATACATTGGATTAAAAACTTTTAGATAAGTATCAGAGGTTACAGAGCAGAGCAGCCACACGACGGAGAGACAAAGCTACACAAACACGACACGACACGACACGACACGACATGACAGGACTATCACAGCCGGGTCACGCTGTTACCATAGCGAATCCGGAGAGCAGAGCTGATGTCCGGCTGGAAGCCTTGAGTTTGGCCCGGCTCAGGTAGAGCTTCCTCCAGGACAGAGCCTGCAGCGAGTGCTCGTTCAGACTCATGTCGCGTGATTTCTGCGCGAACAGCGATCGAACTCCGCCGGTTCTGGTTCCCCTGTGCGTGTTAGTCCAACAAGAAGCCACAGAAACAAGTCGTTAACATTCTCTCTGCGGCTCCGCTCACTGACACTGCACCAACTCACTGGAACTGGAACTGGAACTGGACCTGGAACTACTGCAGCTACCCTCTCCGGCGTGCTGCACCTTACATTACCCACAAGCCCTTGCGCCACAAAGACAACATCCTCTGCTGACAGCTGCGCTGTCATGTGGGCGCTTCTTCAAAACCCCGTTAGCTCCGAGTTAAGGGTGGTGTAGTGTGGAAATGGCAGCATCTAGTGGTTAAACGATATTCTTTACATTCAGCAGTAAAATGTAAGACAATCAGAGGCAAAGTCACACGTAAAGAAACAACACGGAGGTCGACGACGTCTGGTGTATATTATTATTTAACATCCTGACGTCATCGCCTCATTCTAATTTGAAACTACACCTGCCAACACAGTGTTATTAAATAATTATTGTACAAATAATACGATCAAAACCTCCGACTTAACACGGTAATAATGTTACGATACACGATTCACCGAGGCCCCGCCCTCGAACTAATATTTGTCTTGTGTTTTAGGAGCGTCAGAACTCATCCTGCAAACACAGTCTGAGCAGGAAGTCTGTGTTTGAGTGAAGTTCTCCTCCTTAGTCCAAGACAGAGACATAAACTGGGGAAATGAAAAGAACAAACAAACAAACAAACGAACAGTAAACCTGAAAGACTGACTTGTTTTTATTAATTTATTTTAGAATATATTCGACAGTTGTCATATCATATTATTATTATTATTATTATTAATAGTAATAATAATAATAATTATATCATTAATAATAATAAGCCACATGTTTTTCTAGCTCGAGCTGAAACATTAATCCTACAAACTGTGAGACGTTTCCCTTTCAACATTGCAACAGAATTGTATTTTAATTGTGATAAAGTATAAAAGCGATTATTTCTTTTATTTACTTCGTGAAACATGGCGTGAAATTCCCTGCACTGTAAACAACGTCAATAAAGCATCTAAAATCTACAGGAAACTGGTCTAACTCGTGTTATTACCGTATAATAACATATTATTATTATATCACTGTAACTGTATTTTATTTGTTATTGTCCTGCCTTTGTTTCTCCAACGGTTTGACTGTGGACATGCAGAATTATTTCATTTATATATATATTTGTAAATATAAAGGTAATGTTGATATATTTACATTTACTTCATCTTTTCAAACACTCCAGTTTTTCATAATTTAAACTCCGTCGTGTTCACAGTCTTATTTGTACTGACGTGGATCAGTATTTATTACTCTATTACTCCATTACTTCATTACTACATGATCATGAAGAGACACACGAGCGTCCGCCGCCTCCGTGACGCTGCCCAACAATGTTTTGGTTCCTGGCGGTGACGTAATAGACAAAAACATGGTTCCCTTGTTTTGAAGCAGAAACGCGTGCTAACTCCAGCGCTCCATTCACTGCGGGCCCCGCGCTCTCAGTCACGGAGGTGATGCATCTTCTTCATCCGAACTGAGACAGAGGAGAAGTGGCACAACAATGGCCGCCGCCGCCGCCGCAGCTGCCGCCGCTGCAGAGTCCGGACGCAGGCTGGTGTGTAGCATCTGCACTGTTTCCGTTAGCACATGAAGACACACTGGCTGCTAATTAGTGAGCTAAGCTAACGACACAGAGAGAGAAAACGCTGCTGGGAATTCTTTTTTTTTTTTTTTTCAATCAGGTCATAAAGGACCTGCTTCAGTCAGAGCAGCAGGAGAAAATGAAAGTATCAAAGTGATAATTAACATTTAATAACTTGGATATTAACTGTGGTAGTTTGGTGTTCAGGTCACATCAATAAATCATCAGCAAGGAAAGCTGCAGCTGAAAGACAGGGATGTTATTTTTTAAATTAATTCAACATTTAATAATAAAAATGCTATGATATTTATTAGAAACTATAATTCCTGTCAGTTATTATTGTGTTATATAACATTTATATACAATTGACACAAGCAGTAGAAATACCAGAAAAACAAACACCCCCCCCCCAAAAAAACCCCCTGTTGTTGTTGTTGTTGTTGTTGTTGTTGTTGAGCAGGTTCTCTCCATTGGTGGCTCGCGGCCCAAAAGCAGGACGTGGTGATACGGTCTCAGTCCCATCACATCAGACTCTGCTTTGACTTTGACACCTTTTCAAGCTGTTGAAATTCCACTTCAAATTTCTTCTTCTATTCTTTAAAAATAAATAAAAAAACTCCCAAAAAAAAAAAATCAAAATTTACAAAAATCTTTCGGGGATAGGTAGACAATTTTTTTTTACAATTTTACATATATATTAATTTTAATTTAAACATGAAGTGAAAATATGATCTTGTAGGAATCATTTTTTTAGTATGCGTTAATGTTTTGTTTCTTTTCGTGCGTGCAGCGCTCCATCTGCCGAAGGATGTACGATGAAAACGACGACCTCTCTGATGTGGAGGAGATTACGAGCATCCGAGGCTTCAGTGTGGAGGAGAAGCTGCTCAGTGACGCCTACGACGTCAACTTTGTGCAGGTGATGGAGGGGAAAGGTGAGTCACACACACACACTCACACACACACACACAGGATGTCTGTTCGTGTGATGTCGTTTCCTGTTAACCTTTTTCACACTCACGCGTGGTCTGTTACAGACTTCACGTATGACTACGTCCAAAGGGAGGGGCTTCGGGTTCCACTGATTTTTAAGGAGGCCGACGGACTGGGGATCAGGTGATTGGTCAACTCTGTCTTCACAGTTATGACTTCACTTCCTCTGTATGTCAAGCAGTTCATGACCTTCATGACCTTTTAATAATTGTTTCTTTTCTGTTTTTCTCTATCATTCATACGCAGAATGCCTGATCCAGATTTTACCGTCAGTGAAATTAAAGGTTTAGTCGGTGAGTTTTAAATCTGCATCCAGTGATAAACACACACACAAACACAGTACAGCTACGGCGGTTGAAGGAGCGGACTTGGGTCCAGAAGGTTTCAGGTTCGAGTCCACCACTGAGGTGCTCTGAGCACGGCACCGTCGCCACACACTGCCCCCTGCTGACTGTGGTGATGGGTTAAAAGCAGAAGTCACACTTTGTCACAACGACAAGTATTTCACTTTCACTTTCAATAAGAGTGGAGTTAAAAGGGAAATATACACTCAACCGTTTTCACCTATACAGATCTGATCAGGCGTGCAAATAATTCAGCTCCCAGGTTGTACTGTATATAGCACAGAGCACCACTCTTCTATGGAGCTGTACGGTTCTGAAAAAAATGCTCAAATACAGTTTTTTCCACATAGTAAAAATACAAACATCAGCTGCTTTTCTGCCTCAAATTTATTTGTTGAGTGGAACCTCTAGGTGGCGCTGTTTTAATTCATTATGCCATTAAAACAATTAGGAAGTTTGTATCTATGTGATTCCAGTCTTGACCTTGTTTGTAAAACAAACTCTCAACCTCAACCTGTAGGTCAGAGGTCACAGGATGGTTTAAATGTGTCAATAAATGATGTTGTATTTAAAAACCGTTCAATCATAATAAATATTTTTTATAATAGATTGTATAAGTAATTATAATAACTGTAACTATAATGTAATACAACGTATTATTATATAATATAATTAATATATTATTATTATATGACTTATATAATAATCACAGCTTGATCCGCCTGCATCTCTACCCTCTAGCGGTGAAGATTGGGAATTACATGTATGAATATACATCGAATGAAGAAACTGAAGTTTTGAATATGGTTTCTATTAAACTTGTATCTATACTTGTTTATCTAGACCTATAGATCTGTTTTCTCTGCTTATTTGACTTTTATTATCACAGGACAGACGGGTTTTTTTTTTTTTTTACGATTCAGTGACTCGACTGATCTGGTTGTTTCTCGCAGGCAGCCGTCGGTCTGTGGACGTTATGGACGTCAGCACTCAGAAAGGCTCGGAAATGAGCATGGCTC